TGTTTAGGCCGAGGCAAGAGAGGTCCCACATAACGGTAATCAAACATCCGGACGGCACGAAGAGAACAAGACCAGTAGAGACAGCGGAGATCTTCAAGGATTTTTATAAAAGATTGTACAATCACACACCGGACGGAAGCCCTCACAGAGAGCTTGAAGAAGAGTATATCTTGCAATACCTGGACAAGCTGGGGATGGCTAGATTAAACGGAGAGGCAGCACACACTCTGGTGGCAGATATCTTGGAAGACAAAGTGGACAAAGCTATCTCGAGTCTGAAAGGCAATAAAGCACATGTCACTGGCGACCACAGTGCTCTTGCCCAAGCCCGGAAAGGACCCATTACACCCAGAAAACTACAGGCCCATATCGTTTATCAACCAGGACCTAAAGATATTAGCAAAAATACAAGCAGACAGGCTGAACCCATTGTTGAATTCTCTCATCCATGCAGACCAGGTTGGGTTTATCAGAAGTAGACAATTGTTCGAAAACACTAGAAGGAATATAGATTTGATTTGGAAGCAGGTGGCCTCAGGGACCCCCACATTAGTGGTATCCATAGATGCAGAAAAAACTTTCGATAGAGTCCGGTGGCAATTTCTGTTCCCAGTTTTGAAGAGCCTGGGCTTCCCAGAAGAATTCTTAACGATAACGAGAGCAAAGTATCACAACATACGGGCACAAGTGCAGGTATCGGGAGCCCCACTGCACCCTTTCAAGCTATACAATGGAACAAGACAGGGATGCCCACTCTCCCCCCTTCTTTTTGTCTTAGCACTGGAGCCATTGCTTCAGGCGGTACGTCGACATCCGAACATTCCAGGTGTTAGGGTGGGGGACAAGGAATTCAAAGTATCAGCTTACGCGGACGACGTCCTCTTGACCATCACGACTCCACTGGAATCAATGGCAGCAATACAGGAAGTCATATCAGAGTACGGTATGGTATCGGGATATAAGGCGAACATCCAAAAGTCCAGCGCCCTCCCGTTGTGCCTGACGCAAGCTGACACGGCTAAGTTACAGGAGATCTACAAAATCCGCATGGAAACAGACTCCATGAAGTATTTAGGAATTAATATGACAGTGGACCCCGAACGTTTATACTTGGCTAACTAAGCCCCTATATTAAGAGAGCTGATGGGAGACCTAGACAAGTGGACAGAAAAACCCATATCCTGAATGGCAGGATAAATTCGGTGAAGATGAATATCCTTCCATGTAAATTATTCCTTTTTCCAGGCGTTACCAATCCGAGTCACGAAGACACAACTGCTACCTCTGCAAAAATCAATAGGAGATTTCATTTGGCAGAACAAGAGACATAGAATCGCCAAACAGGTATTATACCGACGTAAAGATAGAGGGGGCCTGGGCCTTCCGAACCTCTACTTCTACTACCTAGTGGCTCAACTGACGCAGATAGCCATGTGGCACTCCACACCGGATGAGAGAAGGTGGGTGGAAATAGAGTCTACGATGGTGGATGTCGATGTCCCCCCAGTTTACGATATGGGTCCCCAAGGAACACAGACCGGCGATACGGATAACATGCCCAGCGATCCTCAACTCAATCCGAATATGGGACACTTGTAACACCAAATATGGGCTGGCATCATCCCCTTCCCCTCTGACCCCTATTCTTAGAAACAGAGAATTCCCACCTGATATGACCCCCAGAGATTTCCGTAACATCGAAAGAACTGGGCTACAACGGATACATCAGTTATATCACAATGGAGAGGTCGTACAATTTGCAGATCTCCAATCAGGTAACCACCTAACCCCTGCGGATTTTTTTAGGTACGTCCAAATACGTGATTTCGCAAAAAAACCACATATTAAAATAGCAGCCTCCGGGAAGCCCACTTTTCACGAGAGGATATGCTCGGAAGGGGTAACCCCCAAGGGGTTGATCACACTATTATACGCTCACCTTAGCAAAGAAAATAAAGAATGGGGAAGGTTAACATACACTGACCAATGGGAGACTGACCTCGGGGAGATTCTGGGGGGGGGGGTGAGTGGCAGGAGATATGGTAAGCAAATGCTAAGGTCTCCATTTGTGTCACTTTTCAGGAGCAGGCAGGGAAAACTATGTTCAGATGGTATACTACCCCAGTCAAACTACATAGAATACACAAACGGGAGACTGACGATTGTTGAAGGGGATGTGGAGCCCGAGGGACGTACATACACATGTGGTGGGAATGCTCAAAGCTACTTGGTTTCTGGAGGTCGTGGAGGATCTGTTGAGACAGACTTTTGATAGGCCTCTGAAAATGGACCCGTGGATATACTTGTTGAATAGATCTATAGACGGATGGACCAAACGGGAACATAAATTAGTACACAAAATCACTTTGTGTGGGCGCCGAGCAATAGCGACAGCATGGCTTACACTAGAGGGCCCAGAGTTCACAGGGGTTATATCCAGAATGAAAGAATGTAGAGTAATGGATGATCTAACGGCGAGGGTGAGGGGGAACATCACAACATTTAAAAAAACTTGGGAACCATGGGACAATAGTGTAGTTGGCTCGAGGGGAGACTGAGGGCCTCCCCCGTCCAAGTACGAACCAAAAGGTAAACACCCTCACTAGAAGGGACTCCTATGTCAGCGAAGTGGCTGTTTGCCCCCTCTCCCCCCTCCCCCTTGTCTTCTCTACCTCACTGAACTCTTCTTACTATATATCTTTGTTTCATATTCTCTTTCCTTTCTTTTTTCTCTGTTATTGTTTTATTTTTCCAGGCTAGATCATACGGTCGGAGGAATAATGTAGCAAAGGTATGACAATGATTAGCAAATCTAATGGCTACTTGTAATGTTTAACTGCTTGTTCTTCTGTTAAACATAAAACATCTGCATAGATGGCGTGTGCCAAACATACAGTAAGAAATGGGCTTGCAATGATAAAGCTGAACAATATCCTCTTGCACTGATATGTAACTGAAGTTCATTGGCTTCTTTATAAGCCCAAATTGAATGAATACCTGATATGGTTATTGAAAAATAAAGGAATTAAGATACCTCAATAACCGACGGGTGCCAAAGATATAGTAAGAACCGGGATTACAATAATGACGCTGACTTGTGTTCTCTTGCAAGGAAATGTAATTTAATCAGCTTCTTTATAAGCCCAAAATTGAATGTGTATTTGTTATGTCTATTTGAAAAATAAAGAATTTAATAGAATAGGGAATTATATATATAAAAATATAAAAACCCTCAGTAGATGGCAGGTGCCAATGGTTTTTTAAGGAATGGGCATATAATGTATTTGTTGAACTGCATTATGTATCCAAAATTATTTTCAAGTTGGCTTCTGCGTAAGCCCAAAAGTTGATGTAAACTTGCTATGTCTATTGAGCAAAAATAAAGAATTGAAGAAAAACAAACAAAAAAACTGTATTTTTACTGAATATGTGTTAATTATGTTAAACCATTGTGTAACATAATTATATCACAGGCAGAGGGGAGGATTTTTGTATGTAATTGCTGGGAGTGGTTCTGTAATGTACGTGTATGATTGGTTGTTTTGTAAAACCCTGTGGGTGGTCCTATCTCAGGGAAACCTGCATAAAAGAAGGTTCTTTGTGTGCCAATAAACAGAATGACTTGACCCTCTAATTTGCAGCCTTGACTCATGTTTGTAGGGGACAGCTATATTCACACTGGGGATTGCTATGCTCTGCATACTCCCTTGAGCTTTAAACACTTAGCTCTTTTAATAGCTTGTTCCGGTTACGCTCTCCTTGGAGGAGAGCTCTTCCTCACATGGTCCTGAATGCTGGAGGTTCATCCAGGGTGGAAGGAAGACGGCGAGACTCCAGTGAAGCTACGGCGGTTGTGTAGTCTGCAGTGGTTGTGGTGTCTGCTGAAGTGTTTGGAGTCCTCAGGAAGCGCTAGGAGCATCCATTAACGGAGGGTACTCGGTCGGAGTACAGGGAGCTCCGTTACACCATCTTTTTTTTTTTTTATTTGACAATTTTTATTTTTCAAGTAAATGGGAGTACAGAAGGCAAATGGGGTAGGGTGACATAGTAAGAGTCAATGCAGTACAGATACAATAACTTTTTTAAGGTATACAAATTTACATTTCCCACATTTGTTCACAGTTTAATCATTAACCTTAGATCTTGGCTTGTGAGCGGTGTTTCACCACCTAGTTGTTTGGCAGTTGATCATGGTCTCGGGTGGTGTGGGTTGAGCATAACCGGGCTTGGCCCGGGGGTCTGTTTACTGCTTGCACTAGTAGTGTTGCCTTATAGGGGGGGGGGGGTGAAGAGGGTTCTGGGGGGAAGGGGGTTGAGTGCCGGGTGGGTTGAGTGTAGTGTTTATATTGTTCCGTGTGTATGTGGGTGTGTTCTGCCTCCAGTCGGGAAGGTTCTCATTCCAGCCTGAGGAGTATGATTATGTATCAGGTTCGGTTGGGTTTGTGTTTGTCCCACAGTTCCTACGCTTTGATCCAGTAGGGGTTTTTCTGTTGTACTTTTCGTGCCATAGTTTCATAAGCTTTGGTGGTCTCAATCGCCTTGATACACTGGTTGGTCATTGGAGTGGTTGTCTGATTCCACCTCCTGCTAATAATGGTGAGAGCCGCAATGAGAATGTGGTATAGTAGTAACCTGAGGTGAGTGTGTGGCTCGTGTGGGAGCATGAGTAAAAAGCCAGTTCTGCTGTACGGAGGGATAATCCACTTAACTGGATATTTTAGTGGGAGTATCCCTCTCGTGCAGCAGTGCATGGTAGAAGAAATGTCTTGGTTGTTAAGTCTCCCATGTAGTCCCCTACTGTACAACCACTGTAAAGTCAGAAAGGAAACTCCTTGAATGGGGAACCACATAAGTACTGTGCCTTGTGATTAAAACCTCAGTTGACTCCGAGTTGAACAGCGCAGTGAATCCGCAGGAGAGGGGGCAGTGAGGAAGCAGAGCTTGCCCGAATCTTTAATCTCAAGAGTCATCGTCGGATCACGGCTATTTCAGAATTCACTATGGACAAGGCTGAATTAATTCAGAAGGCCAAACTGTCAGAACAGGCTGAGCGTTATGATGATATGGCTGCCGCAATGAAGGCAGTGACAGAGCAAGGAGGAGAACTAAGTAACGAAGAAAGGAACCTGCTCTCTGTTGCCTACAAAAATGTGGTTGGTGCCCACCGCTCTTCCTGGCATGTGATTTCTAGTATTGAACAAAAAACAGAGGTCAATGAGAAGAAGCAACAGATGGCAAAAGCAAGGTTTTCTACTTGAAAATGAAAGGAGATTATTATTGGTACCTTTCAGAAGTCACATCTGGTGAAAAAAGCCAGAAACTGTAGCTTGCTCTCAACAATCTTACCAGGAAGCTTTTGAAATTAGCAAGACCGAGATGCAGCCAACACACCCCATTCGACTTGGATTGGCTCTAAACTTCTCAGTGTTTTATTATGACATTCTCAATTCCCCCGAGAAAGCATGCAGTCTAGCAAAAGCAGCATTTGATGAAGCAATAGCTGAGCTGGACACACTGAATGAGGAGTCTTACAAAGACAGCACTCTTATCATGCAGCTACTAAGGGGCAATCTTACATTATGGACCTCAGAAAACCAGGGAGAAGAGGCTGATAATGTAGAGGGAGACAACTAACTGCCATGCTTCAGTTTTTCCCTTTTTTTCCCAATTTTTTTTATTTGTGTTTTTATTATTTAAGTCACTCTGTATTGTACACACATGTTTTTGTGCGACAAGTAAAAGAAAAAAAATACATTGACTTTCACAACCTCCGTGTAGCAGAACAATGTGGATTAAGGAAAAAAATGGCTAATAGTTACTCAAATAGAGTAATACATTCTAAGTATATAATGGCATTAAAAATGTATCTCAGTTTATTATGAGGCGATTTAAATTTGTAATTATGTCCTTGGGTTGTTGTTGTTTTATTTTTTGTTGGTTTTTTTGTAGGGTGTTTACTGCACACTGTGATTACGAGCTTTTGTCACTAACATTATAATAGAAATATGTTCTCACAGACAACCTACCTATTTTAAACAGTGCAGTTCTTCTGAATCTATTTCACAGAATGTTGGCCACCGTACTGTGAAACTTTGGATCAGTTATACATTTCCTAGTTTGTAAAGCTGAATACAATCAAGTCTTGTGTTTGAGTATTGACTCAGTGTAGAGTTTTAAACCTGGTTAAATGCTCACACATGCCACTTTAATTTGTACAAAATCAGGGGCTTGTACAGAATATATACACTATACAATAATATCTGTAACTTTTTGCCAGTGTGGTTATGTTGTCCATTTACACATATTCTTTGGGGCATACACCCTTTTGCAAAGCCCCTCTGGTATTTATAACGGTTACAAAGAAGTTGTTAAATATGAGAAATCTGATCTTTTGGGGATATGTTTTCACAGTATTTTAACTGTTTACATTTCATTTTTTTTAATTCAAATTACACGTTGTTCTGCTTGCCCTTCCTGATCCTATTATTCTGTTGAAACCTATTTGCACAACCCACTTAGGTTGAACGCTTCCAATATATAAATTCTCTACCATGCAATTTTTATGTTCCTCCAACGACTCCCTAATCATTATTGGTGATATTGGAACATTAAGTTATTCAGCAATGTGTTCTAGATAGTACTATGGCAGTACCTAAAATAACAATTGGTAAATTGTATTTAACAGTGCTGTACTGTATTCTGTTTGTAATCACTGTCCCAATTTAACCACATCATTCCCCTTTTTACCATTCCACGTGGCTGTATCTTTTCTAGGTGTCTGTCCATCTGTCTGCTTCATAGCAAAATTCTTGCACTGATTTTCAAATTTCCTAAGTCGAACAAAACCGCCAGTTAAGACTTGCTCTTGATAAATGCAGTAGTGAATGTGGAACTGAGCCTGTCTGTATATCTGGTAGCTCTATTTTGCTTTGTTTTTAACTGACCAATATTCTGCCTAAAGTTTGCTTCTGTGTTGGTTTTATTGCCTAGCACACATGTGGTTGTGAAAATAGTCTAGCATGTCTACAAATGCTCGCAGTTTAGGGAATAAGATCCATGAACTTGTGGCAATAATGGCAACTGATAGTGTAGATTTAGTCGCTGTTACTGAGACATGGTATAATGAGAAAAATGACTGGGACATAGCAATACCAGGGTACTCTTTATATAGAAAAGATAGGGAAGGCAAGAAAGGGGAGGGGTGGCCCTGTATGTGAAGGATAGCATAAAATCTAGCCTAATAAAAGTTAGTGAGTTAGTGAGGTGAACATAGAGTCCGTTTGGGTTATGTTAGAATTTGGTAATCACACAGTAACTTGTGTAGGTGTGATTTATAGGCCCCCAGGACAAATTGAAGAGTTAGATAATCTACTAGTTGAGGAAATAGCTAAAATGACAATGAAGGAGGAAGTTATCATCATGGGTGACTTTAATCTTCCTGATGTAAATTGGAAAACAAAATTAGCTACTTGTGCCAGGAGCACACATATTCTAAACTCCCTACTGGGATTGTCTCTAAAACAAGTTGTTGAGGAGCCAACTCGTAAAGAGGCCATACTAGATTTAGTGTTAACAAATGGAGATTTAGTATCAGATATTACTGTAGGTGAAAGTTTAGGATCCAGTGATCATCAGTCAGTGTGGTTTAATATAAGAACAGTGACTGAGTCACACCACACAAAAACAAAAGTTTAAGACTTTAGAAAAACAGACTTTTCTAAAATTAGAATATGGGTAGAGGAGTCATTATCAGACTGGAGCAATTTAAATGGAGTCCAAGAGAAATGGGATTATTTAAAAGTTGCACTATTGAAGGCAACAGAAAATTGCATTAGGCTTGTCAGTAAAAGCAAAAAATTCAAGAAACCACTGTGGTACTCCACAGATGTGGCAAATATAGTTAAAAACAAAAAGTTAGCATTTAGGAACTATAAAAAAAAAACAGAGTGAGGAAGACACAATGATCTATAAGATTAGGCAGAAAGAGGCTAAGCAAGTTATAAGAGCTTCCAAAATCACACACAGAAGAGAAAATAGCACAGTCAGTAAAAAAGGGGGATAAAACATTTTTTAGGTACATAAATGAGAAAAGAAAAGTAAAACAAGGATTAGTTAGATTAAAAACAAAAGAAGAAAGGTATGTAGAAGAGGATAAAGGTCTAGCGGACTGCCTCAATGAATATTTTTGTTCTGTATTTACAGATGAAAATGAAGGAAAGGGACCTCAGTTGAGAAAAAGGATAAATGAGTCATTTATTACACGTGAGTTTACAGAGGAAGAGGTTCTATTTCAACTGTCAAAAGTAAAGACAAATAAGTCAATGGGACCTGATGGAATACACCCAAAGCTATTAAAAGAGCTTAGTGGTGTACTAGCAAAACCATTAACAGATTTATTTAACCAATCATTGTTAACAGGAGTAGTCCCAGAAGATTGGAAGTTAGCAAATGTTGTGCCCATTTACAAGAAAGGTAATAGGGAGGAGTCGGGCAACTATAGGCCAGTAAGCCTTACTTCAGTAGTGGTGAAAGTGATTGAAACCATGTTAAAGGATAGGATTGTAGAACATCTAAAAACACATGGATTTCAAGATCAGAGACAACATGGGTTTACTTTAGGGAGATCATGCCAAACTAATCTTATTCATTTTTTTGATTGGGTAACTAAAATTATAGATCAGGGTGGTGCAGTAGACATTGCTTACCTAGATTTCAGTAAGGCTTTTGACACTGTTGCACATAGAAGGCTTATCAATAAACTGCAATCTTTAAGTTTGGATTCCAATATTGTTGAATGGGTAAGGCAGTGGCTGAGTGACAGGCAACAGAGGGTTGTAGTTAATGGAATATATTTGAAGCTTGGACTTGTCACCAGTGGGGTACCTCAGGGATCTGTACTTGGACCCATTCTCTTTAATATTTTTATTAGTGATATTGCAGAAGGTCTTGATGGTAAGGTATGTCTTTTTGCTGATGATACTAAGATATGTAACAGGGTTGATGTTCCAGGAGGGCTAAGCCAAATGGCAAATGATTTAAGTAAACTAGAAAAATGGTCAGAATTGTGGCAACTGACATTTAATGTGGATAAGTGCAAAATAATGCATCTTGGATGTAAAAACACAAGGGCAGAGTACAGAATATTTGATAGAGTCCTAACCTCAACATATGAGGAAAGGGATTTAGGGGTGATTATTTCTGATGACTTAAAGGTAGGCAGACAATGTAATAGAGCAGCAGGAAATGCTAGCAGAATGCTTGGTTGTATAGGGAGAGGTATTAGCAGTAAAAAGAGAGAAGTGCTCATGCCATTGTACAGAACACTGGTGAGACCTCACTTGGAGTATTGTACACAGTACTGGAGACCGTATCTTCAGAAGGATATTGATACCTTAGAGAGGGTTCAGAGAAGGGCTACTAAAGTGGTTCATGGATTGCGGGATAAAACTTACCAGGAAAGGTTAAAGGATCTTAACATGTATAGCTTGGAGGAAAGACGAGACAGGGGGGATATGTTAGAAACATTTAAATATATAAAGGGAATCAACACAGTAAAGGAGGAGACTATATTTAAAAGAAGAAAAACTACCACAACAAGAGGACATAGTCTTAAATTAGAGGGACAAAGGTTTAAAAATAATATCAGGAAGTATTACTTTACTGAGAGGGTAGTGGATGCATGGAATAGCCTTCCAGCTGAAGTGGTAGAGGTTAACACAGTAAAGGAGTTTAAGCATGCGTGGGATAGGCATAAGGCTATCCTAACTATAAGATAAGGCCAGGACTAATGAAAGTATTTAGAAAATTGGGCAGACTAGATGGGCCGAATGGTTCTTAACTGCCGTCACATTCTATGTTTATGTTTCTATGTAAAAAAAAGCAAAGACAAAAAAAAACCTGGTTATTGATGTACTCAAATTTGTGTATGTATTTTAAACAGTTCTAGTTTCACCCTACACAGAATAATCAGGAACATGTTAAGAATTGAAGAGCAAAATAAATAAACAATGTTATCAGTTAAAAAAAACAAAAGAAACAAACCTCAGTTGACTCCCAGCCTATGTGTCGTCTAGTTCTTGGGAAGGAAGGATTTATTCAACACTACCGGGATTATTATATGCTGTATTTGTTATACCTGGATTATTATATGCTGTTCCTGTCTACCAGCGGAGACACTGTGGATTATACTACCTCTCCGCTACACAGATCCTTCGATGCTTTCCTTTCAGCTGGAGAGCAATTATGTGGTGTGTGATTTGAGCAAGACAATATTTTCTTCGTGTCTGTTTTGATTAGTTGTACAAATGTCTTGATCAAGTGGTGGGCGTTCTTAGGTTCCCAAGTGCTTTTTAACTTAAAGCTGATGCTTCTTTGGGGGACCATCGTTCCTGAATGGCCTGTATGTTCAGTGTTCTCTCCATTTTATAGATTTCTATTTCCGTTTGAAACTTATTAGGTTGTGAAGTGGGTACAAATGTTAATCCTTTGGTTAGTACTTTTATGTGATCACTTGTTTATATATAAAATATTTAGTATTATTAATGGATGATATACATTTTTCCATCAAATGACTGATAGGTCATACATGGTTCTAGAATATCATGTTATATGAGCATACAAGATATTGCATCTTCAGATCTGTTTGCATTAAATGGACACTATAGTCACCAGAACAACTACAGCTTATTACATTTGTTCTGGTGAGTAGAATCATTACCTTCAGGCATTTTGCTCTAAACACTGTCTTTTCAGAGAAAATGCAGTGTTTACATTACAGCCTAGTGATAACTTTACTGGCCACTCCTTAGATGGCGGCTAGAGCTGCTTCCTATCTCAGTCTTGCCTAGTTTGAATCAAAACATTCAGTATCTCCTCCCTCTGAATGTAGACACTGAACTTTCCTCATAGAGATTCAATTCATCTCTATGAGAAGATGCTGATTGGCCAGGGCTGTGTTTGACTTCTGCTGGCTCTGCCCCGATATGCCTCCTTCACAGTCTCAGCCAATCCTATGGGGAAGCATTGTGATTGGTTCAGGACAACACTTCTGATGATGTCAGCAGGCAGTTTGCTGTTCTGAGGGAAACAGGAACAAAATCAGCAGCTTCAGGCTTGAATACAAGTACGATTTTACTATATTTAGGGAGGCAAGAGGGGACAAGGGGGACTAGATGGTGGTTTTAACACTATAGAGTCAGGCATATATGTGTGTGTTCCTGACCCTATAGAGCTCCTTTAATGCATCTACAATAATCATCAGAAGCCTTACAATATTCCACCATGCTATCAGTGACGTCATTTCCGCCAACCACAAACCGGGTCTTAATACCTCTGAACCACCAATGATTGATTATTAATTAAACAAGTAGGAGTGGTGAACCCA